ACGAGCACCTCTGAGCTGTGGAGGAACACGCTCACATTTTGGGATGCATATGGAAAACGGACCATGGGGGCTCAACTCTGACACTAAGAGTCCCTGCTACATGGGCCACCCAACCAGCCCAAAGGACCTTGGGCCCTGTGAGGGGTAGACAGTAGCTGGCCAGCCACAAAGATTCCAGTGCTCATGGAACTGCTGGCCACTCTGCTACCTCATTCTGGCAACTACCAGAATGAGGGAAATGGAGAGGAGAGGACCCCTTCCCAGCTCCATCACCAAATCAGCAAAAGCCCTGAAGCCCCTACCTTCCTGCCTGTGTGAGCCACTGAGAGCAGGCCCTGGTTAAGCTTTGAATTGCCCCATACATATCTTATGCAGCCTTCTGGCCATCTCGAAAGGGGCCCTGCTGTCTGCCAAGCCTTGTGCTGGACATAGAGACATAACACAGAGCAAGGTCACTTCCTCCAAGGAGCTCAGACTCCACAGGGGCACCAGCCACATTAACAGATGATTCCACTGCAGAAGGACCCTTGTTGGGACAAGGGTGAGCACAGGGGCACAGGGGCTCTGCACCCAGCCCCGGGGGCTCAGGGAAGTATCTGCACTGGGGCATGCTGACTCCCTGTGAAGCTGGAATCACAGACTCACCCCATGCCTGAGCTGGAGCAAGCTGCAGAGTACCAGCTGCACACCCTTTCTCCTACCCATGTTACAGGTAGGGAAACCGAGGCCCAGGGAGAGAACGGGCACACTCAGGGTCACATCGAAAGTTCGCAGCCTAGGCTCTTCCTACTCAAAGTCAGCCTCTAGTAAGGAAGAGGGAATAGGGGGCCCTAGACTGAAGGCTCCTTGATGGCGGGGACGAGGCATGTCACTGACCACGGCAGCCCCCTCCCCTGCTGCTTGTGCTTGGTAATTTCTGCTGAATGAGTGAGGGATGGAGGGGAGATCACACCCAATCATGGGAGCCAAAGCCCTCCTCCCTCATCAGGGCAGAGACGGCAGAGACCTTGCTGCTGGGAATCACAGGAGGATGCTTCTTCTCCCTGCATCTGACCTGCCAGGGTCCCACTGATGGCAGACAGGAGCACCGATGCTTCCCCCAGGTCTTCTCTGGAAGCCTCTGGAGCCAGGTCCTCACCTGAGCCCATGACAGCACCCCCCATACTCCTCTCATAGTAAGGAGATCAGGTGGTGGTTATTAATACTTGTTTAATGATCATATAATCTTTAGACATAAGATTCTCTCATTTCAATTACCCTATTTGTAGAAGGGGAAACAGGATCAGAAAGACTAACTCAGATCCATGGTCTCCCACTCAAAAGTGGTGGAGCCAAGACTCAAATCCCACAGGATTCCTGCATTGATGTGCTCAATCCTCCAAATACCATCTCTCCAGCTAGCAGGGCCCCTCTGCTGGCCTGCCTTGGATTATTCTGGGCACTGTCAGTCCTGGAGGCTGGTCTACTGCAAAATGTTTTTGTTGTTTTTTTTTTATATCACTTTTTCTTTAAACAGAGAAATCTTTTTTCAAATAAAATCCAGTTGCTGGAAACCCACATGCTGGAGTCTCTACAACTCCCTGCATGTGGGCTCAGCTGGGCCCTCCTTCTGAGGAGTTAGTGCCTCCCCTCTCTTCACATCCCAGGCTTAGGAACATCCACCTCGAGGGCAGGTGGACGGGGGCCTTCTCCTCCCCAGTTGGCAGCTAAAGAAACTAAGCCCAGGCAGGGAGGCTGTTCCCCAGCTCTGCAGGATGCTCAGGGGCAGAGCTGCAACTGGGACTCAGTGTGCTGCTTTCTGTTCTGTGCTGTTCTGTGACATGGCAACTGCCTGCAGGACAGAAGTGACCAGCACCAAGGGCAAGTAGAGGGGAGGCTGATATTACCCCAGGTGGGCAGGGTGCCTCTCCATGCAACCTCCCACCTGCCAGGTATCCAACTACCTAAGCCTCCAGCCATCTGGCCAGCTGTGCTCTCCCGGCAGAACCCAAGGCAAGGCTAAGAAGATCGCTTATTCCTGGAGCAGCCTGCTCTTAAAGCCTCTAAAGCTTTCCCAGTACCGAAAAGCTTTAGGGGGCCAGAGGGAGACTCTCTTGCAGAAGACCAAGGTCTGGAAGCCCCACTGGCATCTAAGCAGATTTCACCAAAGGACCACCCACTACTGTGAAGCAGGTCAGAGCCCCTGGGCAGGGCACCCAGACCCTCAGGCCCACCCACAGAGCCAGCATTTCAGGAGTCTTGCCTTTACAGAGGCAAATCTGAGGTTCTGAGTGTCTGTGGGGATTCCAGATTCCAGGTGTTTACAGGGATGCATGTTACAGACTGCATGTTATAAAATTATATGATTCTGACAAAGCATGTAGTACATCTCAGACTGCATCATTCTTCAGCGGGAGCAGGTTCCTGAACTGTCCTGGGCCCCCGGCTGCCCCTCCCCCCGAGACAGGGCAGGACCCTAATGCAGAGCAGCCCCACCCTCCTGCCCTAGCCTGGCCACATAAATCACCCTCCCAATAATATTTGTATTGATTATCTAAATTGGAAGCCTCAATTGGCTCCATTGTCTCACTTCCTCTCCCCAGGCTCACAGATGGGGTCCCTTGGCCTCATCTGTGTTTCTAATGTGGCATTTAAATGGAGCAGCAGCAGCCAGCAAGGCCCTGCACTGCCCTGGGTATCGGGGGTCGGAGGAGTACAGAAACTCCTTGAGAGAGGACCATAAAATCTTACAGAGTGTGTCGGTGGCAGAGAAGCCAGGAAGACCTAGTCCCTGGGTACTTGAAGTGCTGTCCACTGGCCCCGCCCAGGCACTCATCAGACATGCAGCAGATCAGGCCCCGCCCCCAAGACCCACAGAACCAACATGGGCATTTGGACAGGATCCTTCCATGGTCACATGCACATTACACTTAAGAAGCATGGCTGGACATGGTGGCTCACACCTGTAACACCAGCACTTCGGGAGGCAGAGGCGGGTGGATCACCTGAGGTCAAGAATTCGAGACCAGGCTGACCAACATGGCAAAACCCCATCGTCTCTACTAAAAATACAAAAATTAGCGGGGCATGGTGGTTGGTGCCTGTAGTCCCAGCTTCTTCGGAGGCTGAGGCATGAGAATCACTTGAACCTGCCTGGGAGGCGGAGGTTGCAGTGAGCTGAGATCACAGCACAGCACTCCAGCCTGGGTGACAGAGTAAGACTCTGTCTCAAAAAAAAAAGCACTGCTTTAGCCCAACCATTGTGTTGTGCAGAGGAGCAACTGAGGCCCAGAGAAGGCAAAAGGCTTGTCTGAGGTCACACAGCAGGAAAGATTCCCTGAGTTCCCAGTTCAGACAGAGGGAATGCGAGGGCAAGTGACTTCTGGGGTGAGGGGCCGGCCATTTCCGGGCTCCCCTCCCTCTGGAGCTCCCGCCTTAGGTCTCAGGGCGTGGACAGATGGTTCAGACCAGAATCTGACCCCCCTGTACTCTCACAGCCTGGAGGGGCCAATGAGAACTCCGGGGACTCCCCAGAAGGGCACCTCCTCCCGCCCCGGCCAGCCAGCTGCCCCTTCTGGCAGCAACTGGACAGCAGATCCCAGGGAAAACCACCACCTGGGTCTGCCCAGCACAGCCAGGAGCCTGTGGAGGGGGGCACGATGGATGGGAGGTCCCAAAGAGGCGGCCAGCAGAGGGCCTGGGAGAGGTGGGGAGGAGGGAAGCTGTGGTCAGAAGGAAGGAGGCAGCGCTGGTGGGGATCGGGCAGAGAGGTGGAGAGAAACAAAACGGGAAGGGGGAAGAGCCGGGAAAAGAAGAAGGGGAAAGAGAGCAGGAGGGGAGCAGAGGCGGTAAGGAGTGATGGTGGGATGAAGGAGGGAGGCAGCTGGCCCGGAGGTGCACAAGCACAGCGTGGCTCAGCCCTGCCCGGCCTGGCCGGGCCGGCCCAGCCCCCAGTGACGGTGCAGCTGCCACTCTTGGGCCCTACCATGAGGTCAGTCCTACCCCGGGGCTGAGGGAAAATAAATGGTGTCCAAGATAAAAGGTCCAAGAAATTATTTGTCTTGTTGTCACGTCCTGACTGCAACGGGCGGGGCTGGCGGGCAGGTGGGGCATCGTCCCAGAAACATCCAGGCTGGCAGGTTTAGCCCCACACACAGGACCACGGCCCCAGCACCCAGGCTCATGGCTGGTGCCTGGACCACCTCCCAGAATCTGGGCCTGAGAAGGCAGGAACGGGCAGGGGCAGGTGCTTTCCCAGTGAGGGGCAAGGACCAGGAGGCCTCGAAGCAGTCTCTGCTTTTCCTGCCTGGCAATTTTAAATAAATAATCTATGTGGTATTTGCTCAGCGTCTGTCTAGGCCAGATGCCCTCCAAGCCCTGGGAAGGTGGAGTGCTGCATGTTTCTCTCACTGCTAAGCACCTTTGTGGGCCAGGGGCTTAGGATGTCTCACTCCTCCCAGCCATTGCAGAGGCAGCATAGGCAGGAAAGTGGGGAGAGTTCCCAAGTACTCCAGGAGGGATGGGCAGTTCCAGGGTCAAGGGCAGATCAATAGGATCATGGCCCAAGGTGTTATGAGTGCCACATATCACAACTGCACAGGCTGAAGCTCAAAGAGCCCATATGCACACACCCACATAACACACGCACTAGGCCGGTTTCCACCACCACCAGCTTCCAAAAAGCATCACCCAGAGGCTCCTGCCCCTTGAAGTGGCTGAACCCAGGAACAGCCACCTGCTTTAGGCCATCCCAGGCAAGTCACCAATACCACAGCAGATGCCACTTATGGGGCATTTACCAGCTGAATAACTTTTCATTCACATCTTCAGTTAGTACTCCCAACACCACTCTCAAGGATTTACCATTACATCTCCATTTTACAGATCAGGAAACTGAGACCCAGAAGGAATCAGTGTCAGGTCCAAGATCAGCCAGGACCAGCAGAGCAGCATTTGAACTTGAGGACTCTGAGGCCGGGAAGAGCAGGTACACAGGGTAGGAGGAGAGGGTTGGCACATACCATACTTGTCCCCATCCTCGCCACGGGCACTGATCCTGCGGCCCAGGACCTGGATGTGTTTCCCACTGGTCCGGCTGTAGAGCTGGTACAGCCGCAGCTGCTTACGGCTCACATCGTCCCGAGCCCGCGTCTGGTTCTCCACGTGGATGCGGAAGTCCACGTTGTCCTCAGCAACCAGCACCTGGGCAGGGAAAAGGACACAGTGAGCCACCCTGGATGTCCTGGGCCCGCTGCATGCAGGAACCAGCCACGGCCACCACAAAGACCAAGGGCTTCTCTATATCGGCTCTGAGCCAGGCCTTTGCACATACTGATAACCAGCCCGTCACTACTCCCATTCAAATATGAGGCACCAGAGCTCTGAGAGTCACCTTAAATGCAAGCTGCCCACGGTGGCCCAGCCAAAAAGTGGCAAAGCTAAGAATCAGGCCTAGGTCGATGTGACAACAAAGCTTCTGTTTCCACCGCAGCCGCAAAGTAAAGCAAGAATGATTCTCAGTAAAATGGTGGGGCAGAGGCCCTACCCCAATTCTATCCCAGCGTAGCTGTGAGGCTACGTGAGTAAACGGGAAAAAAAAATACTAAATCCATATGGACATGAATGAGGAATGAGAGGGGATGGAACACTGGGTCCATGGGGAAGGAGGAAGCCTGGAGTGCCACATCCAGGGAGCCAGCGTGGCAGAGTCCGCTGTGACTTTGCCCCCTGAAGCTGATACTGGGGTCTCCTCCTCACCCCACAAGAGCCCTCATGCTCACTCCCACACCAAACATCTGCCCACATCCTGAGGGAGGAGAAGCCTTTGCTTTGCATCTGCCACCAAAATTCTATCTCCCTCGAGGCTTAGCTTGTGCCTGTCCACATCCTCCAGGAAGTCTTCTCTGGTTACATCAAAACATATTGCTCCCATCTTCCTTCCCCTCTCATTGGGACAATTTGCATCTGCCTCCTCACTGGCCTACTGCCTCCACTCTCACCCACTGGTAGTCTCTCTTCCACCAAACCCCATCCCTTCTCCACAGGACTTCCCATCACATTTCTGTGAAGGACTCCTCCAAGGCCTAAGGGCCCTGCAAGGTGAGCCCCTGGCTGCTTTTCACCCTCCTCTCCCACCCCGACCCCCTACCAGCCATGCTAGCCACTGGCCACCTTGGCATAGCTCCCAAATCAAAACACACTCCTGCCCCAGGGCCTTTGCACTTGTTCTTCCTTCTGCTTTGATGCTCTTTCCCAGATCCTTACATTCTAAGCCCTTGAGCTCACTCAGGTCTCTGCTTAAATGTCACCTCCTCATGCAGGCCTTCCTGGACGCCTTTCGGAAGCTCTGCGACTCTCCCTCCTTCCACCATGCTTTGTGCTTCTTTCCAGCACTTATCTGGGTTTTGTCTTTTGGCCCCAGTAGGCTGGCAGTACCATGAAAAAAAAAAGAGAGAGAGAGAGAGAGAAAGCTGGAGCAGTGTCTCCCATTTGCCACTATTCCACAGCACCTAACACAGTAGAAACTCAAACACTTCTTGAATGGATGCATGGACAAATGTTGAAAAGACCTGGAGTCCTGTCGTGCCATTTAGCATTGTCGTAGGGTCCCCAACACCCTGCTGGTTGTATGCATGTTAACCATTAGGCTGAGCCATTCCTGAAGCCCAGACAGCGTTTTGGGTTTGTTTCCTGTGTACCCACAAAGTATATCACAATGCTAGTCACAAGGGACCCCATTCCCAGGCTGGCACAGTCCCATCCAGCCCATGGTAGAGCTCTTGGAACCCTGGCTGCCTGAACATCTGTCTCACCTCTCAGCTGTGAACTCAAGGGCAGGGATGTCCCCTGGATCTCTGTCCCCATGCTGACCTGCACATATCCCCCGATACCAGCCTGGGCCCACAGGTATGTCCACGGGACAGCACTGTTGAACCTTTGTGATTGTCCTCAGGGTGGTAGCATCACCCCACATTGTGGATGAGGAAACTGTCAGCTCCACTGACAAGGCCCCAGAGCAGTAGTGCAGAATTAATCCCAGGCCTTGTGACCCCAAAGCCTGTGTTTCCTGTGCCCCATCCCCTGCAGGCCACTGCCTTGTAGGGCCCTGCCTGCCCCACCAGTGCCATCAGGAGCTGGCCCTGGGTTCAAAACCCAAGATGTGCCACTCTCTAGCTAAGGGACCATATGCAAGTTATTAAACTCTAGTGCCTGTTTCCTCACCTATAAAATATCGTGATGATAACAGCACCCTCCTCATGAGTGGCTGTAAAGATTAAACTTATACAGCAATATATGAAGTGCTCAGAGCAGTGCATGGCTCAGTAGGCGTCACTTGTGATAGAACACAAGACAACCCTTTATGGGGCTCTAGACAAAGGCCTACAAACCAGATTCACATTTGGGAAGATGCTATTGCTTTTGATAGTCCTGACAACCTGTGCCATGGGGACACTTATCACCCCCACTGAACAGATGGAGACACCAAGGCCCAGAAAAGTTAAGTCCATTGCTCTAAACCACACAGCCCGGTGAGGCAGAGCCTGGCCTATTGGCCCACCAAGTGTGCCTCCTCTTCACATCCCCTACCCCTCAGCAGCCACACATGCCACCACTCACAGCCCGGATCTGATACCTGGGGCCCACCTCCTTCTACATCCTGCTGCTCAGGGACAGAGGAACTCCAGTGCCCCCGAGGTCCACACCTGATGGGCATTTTTCCAGAAGAACACCCACCCGTGGCCTTTGACCTTCCTGGAATGACTTCTGAAGGTGGTTGGCCCTGTCCCCTCCCCCAAGGGCAGGCCTCTGGCATCTCTCGCAGTCCTCCAACACTCCTCCTGCTCACAGGAGACCTTATCGACCAGAGGTCAAACCAATCTTCTTGCCCCGGGTCCCCGAGGGGAGCTGCCCTGCCCCAGAAGCCGGCCTCCCATTAATGATTTTCTCCCTGGCCCACTGGACAGAGGCAGCGTGGGTGACCCAGGGTCAGCAGCGGCTATCGGGTGGCACTTCCCCAGTATGCGGGAGGGAACAATCCATCTTGCCAGCTCCCACCATTGAAGCCCCACTCTGTGGCCAGATCCACCCCGAGGGAGGTAACGGGGGTAGCCTCTGACTCGGAAATAGGGTCTGTTCTCCTGGAAAGGCTGGAAGCACCCGGGGCTTCCCAGGCAAGACCTCTGGAGGGTGTGACACCCCCACTAGAGGTGGGGCCTTTCCTAGCCCCACCTCCCAGGCTGGGTGAGGGCCCCTGAGCACTCTACAGCAATGGCTTATTGTCCCAAGTCCAGTGTGACTGGTTCATCCCTGAATCTCAGCTCTGCCCTCAGAAGGAAACCAGCAAACACTTGCCAAAGGCTGTGGCCAAAATTGAGGGAAACCTGGAGGTCAACATCAGCCCTCCCACTTACACCCAGAGTGCCCCACAGAGGGATGTGTTAAAGCAACTGACTGCTCAGCATTCCTCTGTTCCAGACACTCTGCTAAGAAGATCCATAGGCCGGGCACGGTGGCTCAGCACTTTGGGAGGCTGAGGTGGGTGGATCCCTTGATGCCAGGACTTCAAGGCCATCCTGGCCAACATAGTGAAACTCTGTCTCTACTGAAAATACAAAAACTAGCGGGGCATGGTGGTGCATGCCTTTAATCCCAGCTACTCAGGAGGCTGAGGCCACAAAACCACTTGAACCCAGGAGGCAGAGGTTGCTATGAGCTGAGATTATACCACTGCACTCTAGCCTGGGTGACAGAGTGAGAATCTGTTCTAAAATAAATAAATAAATAAGAAGAATTTTAAAAAGAAGAAGAAGAAGCAGACAACCCTTAGACCTGGCACCTCAGTGACCCATGGAGGTGAGCACCAGTTAAAGCCCATGTCAAGGTCTACTGCCAGAGCACATGCATAGTGGTGTTGCCTTGGACACACCCACTTCTGTCCTGCTAGCTGGGTGGCAGGTCACTCGGCTGAGTGCCCTTCAAGGGGGCTCTATCTTCAAGATTTTCCCAGAACAGTGTTGCTGTCTACCTGGCTAACACCCCTCCTGGCACACAATGATCAGCAGTGTTGAAAAGCTGCGGTGTGAAAAAAATCAAATTGCTGCAACTTTTTTTTTTTTTTTTGAGACTGAGTCTCATTCTGTCACCCAGGCTGGAGTACAGTGGTGCAATTTCCACTCACTGCAACCTCCGCCTCCTGGGTTCCAGCAATTCTTGTGCCTCAGCCTCCCTGAGTACTGGGATTTATAGGCGCGCCACCACGCCCAGCTAATTTTTGTATTTTTAGTAGAAACAGGGTTTTCCTATGATAGCCAGGCTGGTCTTCAACTCCTGACCTCAGGTGATCCACCCGCCTCGGCCTCCCAAAGTGCTGGAATTACACGTATGTGCCACCGTGTCCGGCCTGCTGCAACTCCTGAAAGACAAGAAGAGTTGGTGCATAAGGGAAGTCTTCTACAGAGGCAAGGTGCCTTTTGTCACTACACCTTGCCCGCTGCGCCATACACATGGATTATCTTTTGGGTGGAGGCAGCCTTTCTCATAGCATGGTAGCCTAGGGTCCCCTGCAGCCTAAGATCCCAACTGTCCGCAGCCCCTGCTTCCCTTGCCTTGAGGGCTTCAGCTCTGGTAGAAATTTTCACTCTTCCAATGCAGCACTTGCTGCACAGAGGCAATGAGGCCCCAAGAGGCTCAAATCCCACCCCGAGCCTGCCAAGGTCCCCAGGCCCTGGGAAAATCATGGGGCTCAGTGGCACAGAGCCCACCCACCTTCTACCTTCAGTCCCATTCTTACCTGGTGTAGTTCTTAACACGCAATGTGATGCCATGGCCCTGCCCAGGCTCCCCATTACCCAGGACAATAGCCAAGTGTCATGCTTACAATCGAACCCCCCCATCTACCTTCCAAGCCTCCTCTCTTAGGCACCTTGGTTAGAACCTTCCACAGGGAGAAAAGAGGTTGAGATGAGCCTCCAGCCTAGTGCCAGCTTCCGGAGATCAACAAAGATACCACTTCACATGAGGGCATCTGATAGCCTCCGTCACTTCCTCTGGTCTGAAAATTTCAGCCTCTCCAGCCCATTCATGGTTGAAAAGCATGTTTAGATCCTTCTCTTTCTTCCTGGGCCCCATTGCTACCTCCCACAAATGTGCGTGACATCACACATCACCTGTGTACACACACCACACATGCAACACTAACACAGTAACCAGCACTGACTGACCTTAGCTGTCCCCTGGCTTCACCCCCAGTCAACCAACTTACTTGACTCCTTCAGCTCTCAGTTTTCCCATCAGCAAAATGGGGACAGTTTATAATATTTATCTCAGAAAAAGATTATATTAGTAACAATAATTACTCATTTTCCTTTTTTTTCTTTTGAGATGAACTCTCGCTCTGTCACCCAGGCTGGAGTGCAGTGGAGTGGTCTTGTTTCACTGCAACCTCCACCTCCCAGGTTTAAGCAATTCTCCTGCCTCAGCCTCCTGAGTAGCTGGGATTACACACGTGTGCCACCACACCCAGCTAATTTTTTGTATTTTTAGTAAAGATGGGGTTTCACTGTGTTGGCCAGGCTGGTGACCTCGTGACCTCGTGATCCACCCACCTCAGCCTCCCAAAGTGCTGAGATTACAGGTGTGAGCCACTGTGCCCGGCCACTTGATTTTCTTTACTTTTGTTTTGTTTCATAAACAGCCACTATGTGTTGAGCACTTCCTCTGTGCTAAGAATCTCGAGGTGTCTCCCTCCGTAACGATGAGAACAATCCTATGAGTTGGTATGATTATTATCCCCATTTTACAGAGAGGGAAACTGAGGCTCAGAGAAGTTATATCACTTGTTATATGACACAGATTTAATAGGAAATCAAGATTCAAATCCAGCCCAGGTTCTCTCCTGCTTCACCCTCGCCTGCAACTGTTCTCCCTCCTCTTCCTCACCCACCTCCTTTCTACTTTTCTAGGACAACAACTGGTTCAGGCCACTGGCCATCATTTGGGGGTAAGGAGGTTGGAATATTGTCCACAAAAGAGCTGGGGGCCTTGAGCTTTCTGCCTCCACCCAACAGAGAAGGATGGGGTCCCATGGACCTTCCCGCCCAGTCCCCATTCTCTGATCCTTGAGGCTTTATGCAACCCATGCCCCCGTCTCCAGGAAACTTGCCCAGAAAGGGAGGGCTCCCTGGTCCCAGGAGGGGCAGCCTCCAGACTTCCGGCCACATTCCACACCACTGCCTCCTCCAGCAGCAGCAGCAACGGGCCAGCCAAGGTTTTCAGAGCTTCACTGAACTCTGGATTCAAACCAGAGACCTTCCCTTGTCTCCAGCCTGGGTTCTGGTAAAGTCAGCTCCTCTCTCCACCTGAAAACGCAGCTCTGCTAACTTCCTGGACTCTGGCCTGGGGGCGCTCTCTGGATTATTGTCACTGA